TCTTGTGTATTTGATCGGCAATTCTAGAGTACCGGAAATTTAGAGATTTTCGTTTTATTCAAATCTTTATGTTTTTGTTTTGAAACACAACCTCAATAACAGGACATAGGTCTAAAATTCAACTTCAATTCGGATTGGCCCTTAAGCGCCTTGATACCAAAATATGGTATATTTGCCCTTTGTTATGTCAAAAACAATAAACCACGAACACACCAAAACACTAATTGTCGGTTCCTTTATTTATATTTTTGGTCGTTTTATTTATGATAATAAAAATAATAGGGGTATATATATATTACCAAAAACCATTTCCTATCACAATCCTATATCGTTCAAAACTAGCAAGCAGTGTCAAAAATGCATTGTATTATTTTTGTTATAATAATTTTTTATAATATTCTGTTTAGTCAGACTTTATACCAAGTGCGCCATGTAAGGAAGAGTGACGACGGTAACAAGATTTTGTATAGATTTTTTGTAGTTCAATGTTAGACCAGTTTGGTTGAAACGTAATCTTACGCTATTATTTATTGTGGTTGGAACAAGATACAGATTTTATCCATACCAAAATCTATTTGTTCTGGATTTTAGAAAAAATATTTGTTCTGGGAACCAAATCTGGCATCAAGCCGCGATTCCTTTAAATTTAAAGTCCTTAAGCATTTACTTAAACTGTCAAACACCGAGCGGTCACCGGTGACCGCAACCTATTGTTCTTTAATTGTGTCTATAATGACGGTACTCAAAGAGTTAAGCATTGGCGGACTCAAAAAAATTTAGGAAACTATTTAGACAAAGTTTTTTTTTTATAATACATATATTGTAATATTTACCTATGCAATAGATATAAGTATTCGTATTGCAGTTTATAATATATAGCGTGTATGTCTATACAGATTTATAAAATATTGTATTAATATATTTATTTTATAGGTATTTAAGTGTAAAGTATACATATTACTTAACAAATTTTTGAATTGTGTTCTGGCTTCGCATCAACCACTTCATTTCTCTGCAGTTTTCAGAGAATGCCGTAAGGCGTTAAGTCCGCCATTCACTTTTATGTTTTGTGAAAAAGAAATAAATAAATAAAATCTATGACATTTTGCACAGTAGCCAGTCACCCAACTTCTAAGGCAACCATGTTATATTACTAGCGTATGTTGTGTTGTTATACAATGATAAAGGCAAAAATGATTAATGGAGTCCATACCTGATAGTTGGTTATTTGGACATTATCATTAGATGTTTCATAAAACTTTCTTGCAATAAAACTGCTCGCAAAAACAGTAACGTAATTTATTTTTCAACTTTGCCCAACACTAGGATTTTCTCCTGTGTCGTGGGTGCGTTTACAAACAAACAATTTCACATACACATGACGCCCAGAGCCGAAACAACAATTTGTGGATCACACAAAGTGTTGTTCCGTGCGGGAATCGAACCCGCGGCACGCTGCACGACAGCCGGTTGCCCAGCCACCGCACCAACTGTGCAGTCAATGTTGTATTCTTTTTTTATAACACAACGGTGTGAAAAAAGCACACGGCCCACCTAATGGTAAGCGGTTACCGTGGCCTATGTACGCTTGCAACATTACATGCGTCATTATATGTTTTTATTGTCATTTTGTTCTTGTTATGTGTTCACTTTATTCATTAATTTTTTACATAGTCGCAGTTCACACAGAAGCCGCAGCCACACTAACAGATGATCCTTTGACTGACAAGCCATCGTGTTCGTTATTGAATGGCGTTTGTGCTGAAATAGGTCATTGTCCACGCGGGTCCAGGATCGAAATCAGGGGCTTATGCCTAGATGAGGAAGATAACGAATGCTGTATACCCCGTAAGTTTCTTTTATTTATACATTAAGTTAGCGTTTAACCTTTTAATCCCTGAAGAGACAAACACATAGGGTAGATGACTAATTTTTATTTTAATGTCCGTCTGGTAGATTATTTAAAAACATTAGATACGTATTTTTTATTTTCTTACAGAAACGAATAGTTTCGATGATAATTTTGGTGATTTGACGTCACTTTTGAGTAAAAATCACACTCTAAAATGACGTAGCCTCCTCCTACTCCTAAACTTTGATTCGTTTTATCTAAGTATTGTTTTTTTATACGACAAAATTAAAAAATAACATAACATCACGCCTTTTATCCCCGAAGGGGTAGGCAGAGGTGCACATTATGCCACTGTACAATGTAACACCCACTTTCCACTATTATGTTATGAGTCCCATGTAATAGGGGAGTCTGCCATACACTGGCAGCCTATATACGTGAGCCTATATATGAAGCGCTAATCTTCAATAAAAGCGCAATTGCCATACACTGGTCAAATTTACAAAGACTATAATAATAAACCTCATTTATGCTTAGCCCGACTCGGAAATTGAACTCGAAACCTTTTTTTAAGGAGAGAACCGAGGTTTAGAGGACTTGACTAAGCTTATGAGACAGTCAGTCAAGTATTTTGATTTTGGTATGCTTTGACTGTACAGTTGACGCAGTCATTGGTGACTGACTACTACAACGTACCGTTACTACTGTTATGTTATGGTCACGGAATATAGAATGAATTATTTTGAGTAATATTGTTTGTTTTATTACAGATAAAAGGCAAAGCAGATGTTGCCGCACTCGTTCTGCCTGTGTGCCCAAAGTTTTCGAATGTTCGCAGCACAACAGAATATCCGAGAAGATTTATATGACTACATAATTTATATTTTAAAAACACTTCATCATTTTCAATAGATGCTATGAAGCTATCCTTTCTAAAACTAACCATAATTATTAATAATAAATAATAACCGTAATAAACATACCACAATAAAACCAAAATGTAAAAATTATTTGTTTTATTTTCTGCAAAAATCAAAATACGAAAGTGAAGTTAGATTACTAATTAATATGAAATGATATTCATTTCTGTAAATGTAATAAAAATATTTAATTTAATGTAAATACTAAATATATCTAAAATTAAAAAAGAACACCTATTTTTTTTATTTATCCTTAATTTTTTCATAGTTTCTTAAAAAAATAAACTAAAACGAATTTGCGTAGGTGTTGTTATGACATATTGTTATGATATTTAATAGAATGCATAAAAGAGTGTTTTTATCATCTATGTTATGATAACGATAATGATTCAATAACTATATTATTATATTAAAACATTCTTGAAACCAATGTATGGTTATGTTATTGATCTCTGAGATTTCCCATTGTAAAGCTTTCATCGATTAGAAATTTTCCAGAATAACATGAGTTACTGTTTTAATTGAATAACAGGTAGAAAGTTATTACTTAATATCGACACTACATTTATTTATTTGCTAGCTATTGCCGGCGACTTCGTCCGCGTAAAATATGAATTTTAGGACATAACTTCTGTTTCAAATTTTCAAAATAGAGGGAGCCTCTGTTACTCCTTAGTACTTCAGTTAACGGCCAATAGAAGTCTTGCAAAATCGATCCAGCCATTCCTGAAATTAGCCAGTACAAACAGACGAAAAAGAAGATTTTAAATTGAATAACAGCTAGAAAGTTATTGATTGAAATCGACACTACATTTATTTATTTATTTATTATTCATAAACACATGCATAATTTTGTTTTTAGTCAGTAAGAGTCTTACACTCCCTCCCGCCTCACCCAGGCTGGAGCAGTCATTCGGTGATTTTCCCCGTAAAAAAATGCGTAACTTTGCATATCACTCCACATTTTACCTTGAGAAAACTAATCCTTTTTAACTCTCTATCTTTTTATGAATATGAATAGCATTTCTGACATAATCTTCTCCAATTCTACACATGCTTCTGTCTTCTATTTCTTATGTTTTTTAATCCTCAAAGGGGCTTACATAATTATATATTCTGATACCTACCTTTTCACCATATTTGTCATGAGTTTTGTGTAATTATGTAGGTGTGAACCTATTACCAATAATATTAGTACGATGGTTTATATTTAAGCCCCTAGAAAGTTCTAGAACTGCAAGTTTACTTATGTTAATGTGCCTGATTAAGGGACCCATACAATTTATTTCTACTGCTAGGGGTAGGTATACATGAGCCGCGGAAGACTTAACGGGTTGCCGGGGCTCCGGTTCGAAGTGCAGGTGTAGGAACGGGGTGGTTTTTAGTCAGTAAGAGTCTGACACTCCCTCCCGCCTCACCCAGGCGGGAGAAGTCATTGGATGATTTTCCCCTCTCAAAAAAAAAAAAAAAAAGGGGTAGGTATACATACACAATAAAAGGTTTTACAGAATATAATTCATTGACTCTACGAATTGACTGTCTTGTTAGCTGAGTGGTCGCAAGTGCGACTGCCGGGTGCGAGGTCTCAGATTCGATTCCCGGGTCGGGCAAAGTATTACTTTTAAAAAAAAACATTTCAGTAGTAGTAGCACGGAGTCTAGAATTGTGCCCGGTATATAGCAATAGGCTTACCCTCTATTACATGGGACTCATAACATAAATAATTAAAAGTGGGTGTTACATTATCCAGTGATATTAAGTGCCGTAACGCGCACCTCTGCCTAGCCCTTTAAATAAAAAGGCGTAATGTAATGATGATGAGAATATAATTCAGTATTCAATCAGGATCATAAACTTTGAATTTTTTTTGTTTCTTTATTTCAAAAGCAATTTACATTGTGTGTGAATCAAAGCTTAAAACTAATAACACAAGTAGTACTAGTAATTAAATCATCTACAAGAGATGTCACGACCCGACAAACCTTTAATCAACACAAACCTTCCACAGCTATCTAGGTTTCACTTGCAATGAGAAAGAAAACAAATACCATTGTATTCATAATAAGAAAAAACATCTCATCATTAGTCTAGAGAATGCGTCATCTGATGTTGTTGCCTAATATAATTAAATGAATAACTTTCTCACGAATACAATATTATTTTTATCGAGCAGTTTACATATGAACATTTTATTGGAGGACGCCGAAGGAATCGGTTGTACCACGACCATGTGCAGCCAAGTTGCTTTCTTGATTTGCACTTTAGTCTATTTCGTATACAGTGCAAAAGTGCCTTTCGAAAAGATTGGTGAAGCTCAGGGTAAATATCTGTATAAGGATTAATTTATGTTTTTATAATAACTAAAATTGCGGGTTACTCACGTGAATATACTGAGAAAAGCTCTACTAATTTCGAACCACAGAGGGGTTCTTCTTCATGAGCAGCGTGCGCAGTCGCGGCGACGTCGTGACCTGCACCGGTTCGAAACTAGTAGAGCTTTTCTCAGGATTAATTTAGTTACAGAAATCTTTATTTATTTTTAATTGTTCTTATTTTACAAGTTTATCAATTGTTAAACCTGGGAATTAATGTCATTACCGATAACGTATTGAGTATTTACAAATCTCAATATTATTCTGCAGAAAATGTCCACTATTGTACAAAGACCGCCCTTTCAATAAGGAAGCATTAATTTTTAGAGGATGCTGATTCCCGTTTCTAACCGTCCTTTTTTACGCGATAAGACGGTAAACAAGCAGACGGATCACCTGATGGTAAGCAATCGGCGTCGCCCATGGACACCTAGAACTCCAAAGGCGTTACGGCTCTTTTGGAATTAGGAATTTGAGGATTGTTGGGGATTCAGGGATTGGGGAGATTGGGGAAAGGGGAGGGGTAATTGAGCCTACAGTAACCTCACTCATACGACGAAACACGGTTTTCTGTGAGGCTGTGGTATCACTCCGGTCGAGTCGGCCTATTCGTGCCGAAACATGGCTCTCCCTCCACACTTAATTGTTCTTGCAATAGCTTGCGGCAGTTTTACTAAAACAAAGTTTTTCGTCTCTTAATTTGATTGCAATATAATGAAATTTTTTCAAATGGTTATTTAATTAATTGATTTCATTTCCAGCAATACAAGCACCCTTCTTCGAGCTACCATGTATGAGAATTGGTGGTACTTGTGCCAAAGCGTTTGCATGTCCCACAGGGACTAGAGTTGGACGAAGAGGATTATGTCCAGACCAACAGGAATTAGGCATAGAATGCTGTAGACCTAGTAAGTTCTTCGGCAACGTACATTATTACGACATATTCTAACTGATTTTGCTGGTATAGCAATACCAATTAAAGCATAATATTATTTTTAAAACAGTTCTTTGATTATTTTAAATTATTTTGTAATCTTCTGTAAAATATTTACCACATTTCTTGGTATTGTATTTATATTTTATGTCTGTTTATGTAAAATAAATTTCTCAATCTTTGTTTAAAATTAATATTTTATTTTCTTTACCATATTTCTAAATATTTTTCGATTTTAAAGCTCGTCGTCGACGTGTAGGGATTAGTGGAAACAATTTATTTCCAATACGTAGATTGAAATTAATTGTTTGTATTTACTGTGTGCAATAACAATTATTATCTTTTTTTAACTATAGATAGGGTGGCCCGACCTTTGGATCAAGTCCAAGAACGCAAAAGTGAACGAAAACCGGCGAACCAGGGAAAAAGTAATGCTTTATTAATATATTTTCGAAGTATAAAAATTACATTTAACGTTTTTATTGATCTGTTAAGTAATTTAATTAAATTTTAGTTAAAATTTTACTTATCAGTAATCTACTTGTTTTAGCAAACATCGACAATAAATGCATTACGAGAAATGGAGTATGTATAGCAACTGGTGGTGAATGTCCTCAAACAATGCAGATAGAAGGAACATCAGATTGTAAATCAGACGAAATATGCTGTATTTATAACCAATAATCATTTTCATAAATTTAATGTTGTTTAATTTTATACTCCTTTACTAACACAGACAAGAACACTTCTATTTTCAATTCATTTACGTATTTCTACACTTATGTATGTACCTATACAATTAATAAACAGATTAAAATACAAAATACATTCAACTATGAAAAAAAGTATATCACGCAATGAAATTAAAAGATATTTTTACCTATGGGTCTTCTCTATATTGGAAGGTTTACTATAATATTCACGCTTGACTTGCTTGCTTATCCAAGTCTAATGCAGCCCAATTTGTGGCAAATGTGTAGTTCATTGAATCTTATAACATTCAAGAGGGAAACATAAGGATGGTGACAGATGTCTCTTTATTTTTGTATACTTTATGCACATTGGCTTATTCAATGTCTTCTGGTCTACTTTAATATGTCACAGAACTCTTTACACAGCGGTCAGCGGTCGTTCAATTACCATTTAATTCTAAATAAATTATAAAAAAACTTGACATTACTTTTTAATTCATTTATGGTATAAATAAGCCGGTAAACAGATAGAGAGATCACCTGATGGTAAGCAATCGGCATCACCCATGCACACCTGAAACAGTAGAGGCGTTATAAGTGCGTCACAGACATTTTGGGGATTAGGAATTTGAGGAATGTCGAGGATTCAGGGATTGGGGAAATGGGGGGGAAGTGGGTATCCGGTAACTTCACTCACATGACGAAAAGCAATGCAAGCGGTATGTCAGGTCGTGGAATCACTCCGGGCGAGCCGGCCCATTCGTGACGAACGCACGGCTTTCCCACACTTATTTTTTTTTATGGCATAAGCCGGTAAACGAGCAGTCGGATCACCTGATGGTAAGCAATCGGCGTCGCCCAAATACACCTGGAACACCAAAGGCGTTACATGTGCGTTACCGGCTTTTTGGGTATTAGGTGTTTGAGGATCGTTGGGGATTCAGGGATTGGGGAGATTGGGGAAGGAGAGGGTAATTGAGCCTCCGGTAACCTCACTCACACGACGAAACACAACGTAAACGTTGCTTCACGTCGGTTTTCTGTGAGGCCGTGGTACCACTCCGGTCAAACCGGCCCATTCGTGACGAAGCATGGTTCTCCCACATTTAAAATATGAATGAATAAACTAACAAATGTTTCTACTACACTGGATAAAACCCAAAACCTCGAGCAGCAAGCATTATTTGTAAACAATTAGCATGAACTTAAGGTCAAATGGTTCCGTTGAGGAATTTACGTCTGACCAATTTCACCTTGGACACCTTGGGACTGTCCCATCACTAGACGACGCATGAGTAACTGTGAAACGTAACTAAATCAAAGGTCACTGCTCTATTTGAATGCTAAAATAGCATAATGCATGAATCAACACTTCATTTATCTTATCTTATAATTTTATAAATATACCTAATTTTGTATACTTACTATTTATTTATTTTTATTATTATATAAAAGCTGAAGTATTTGTTTGTATTTTAAACGAACTACACTCAGGAACTATTGGTCCAAATTAATTAAATTAAATCCAATACAAAATTCATAGAAAAGTATCGTTTTTGATGAGATATCATTTCTCAATGAAAGTATTGAATTTGACTACCTGACAACTACCGTATTGTGACCACTCGGCCAACAAGGCAGTCTGCTACTAGTACTAGTTACTGGTCAACCCATTGACTTAAGACGTAGTAAAGCATCGCTGCATAGCTCTAATCGAATGATAATAATTATGCTATTAATTATTCATTTAGAATAAAATTGTGAATTAGTTATCGAGCATTTTAAATCAAGGTCATGATCGGCTGAGTCACCTTTTTGAAAATATCGTTGAGTGACAAACGAATTAACATAACAATCGACTGGTTATGGGTCGCAGAAAACAATATAATAGGTATACTAGTGTATTCTGAGCATACAGGTACGCTCAGTATTTACAGATAATACATGTATAAAGATAATAAATGTTGCACATCTCTGCATCACCCCATGGTTGACTGTTAGAGAATGCCACCCGGCATTAAGTCCGCCATCGTATGTTTGTTATACAGAAGTGTTAATAAAATAAATAAAATAAAATAAAAATAATACAGATAGCTCAGATTACAGTTATTTACCAGTGAAGTTTACCTCTATATTAAAACTTTCGTGGGACATACTTAATTAATTATTAGCAGGTTGCGGAATGCTTCTCATGAATATGAGCCCCTAACATGGTTTGAAACTAGTCGAGTTCCTCGTCAAACAGTTACGTGAGTAAGCCGAAAACATAATAATTATTTTCCAGTGAAGTTATAGAAAATTTTACTATTCTACATTGACACTTATGTTATGAAGTTTCATAGAGATCTTTACGTACATTTAAAGCTCAGTTTATAATGGTTTTTCATATCTTGATGAGCAGTTGGCTTCAGTTAACGACTGCATATTTGGCGCAGTAGTTGGACAACTGGCTGCCGCGCAACGTGTCGCCGGTTCGATTCCCGCACGGAAAAGCTCTTTGTGTTATTCACAGATTGTTGTTCCGGTGTAAAGTGTAAACACACCCCTAACCGGTGTTTTTATGCTTGTATATACTGTAGATCCTGGGTTACAGGAGTTGCAGCGGTTTTGGGAGAATGTGGCTGGCTTGTCTCATTTAAAAAAAACGCACCCACGACAAAGGACACAATTCTAGTGTGGGGCAAAGTGGGGCAAAAAAAACTATGTAGTTGGTCTATGTAGTTGTGTGTGGCACCAGGACGGGTTTACTTGCCCGCACATTACCATAAACTTACATAGTTATAGCTGTCTTTGTTCAATTCATTTTCAACTGTATGCTATTGTAATACATTCGACTTTTGCATTCATGGAGAAGGTTGATATTCGACGTCCGTTGCACATTACAAAGACGATGTATGATCATTTTCTGCATACTATTTACTTAGGAAAACATAAAATATGGTGAAAGTAAACGACGAAGAAAGTCAATAGGCTTTCGCTTGTAGATATTGGTATTCTGCGAGAGTCCACAGCGTTAGAGTACCTATATTTGTCAGCCAAGCAAATTTGTGTTCTGCTAAAATACCAACTTAATTCAAAATGAAATGAAAACCTGTAGGTGTAAACTGAACTAAGGGCATGGTACATAAAACTTTGTTTTAAAAAGATCACATGAAGAATATTATGGTTAATAACACTAAACAGAGAGAAAAAAACTATTCGTAATAATATCAAATAATAATTGACGAAGTAATAATAAAGATAGGAATTTATATATTTTTTAAACATCCAATGATTTACCTAAGAATCAAGATAGGTATTACATCATAGTGATAATTATATGAACGAACTGCGCCTTTTCAAGTATTAAAAGATCTGAATTAAAGTCTACTTGAGACGTCATGATGATCTGATAAAATAAAGGTTTTTCTGTATATTAATACATCCTGTACTTTACACGACTACAGAATTACACATGCTGTATTTTACGCAGCAGTCAATGAACTTGAATTACGATATACAAAACAATACATATTGTGTATATATGTGTATACTTGTGTATAATTTGTTGCAACATAATAATCATTTTACCGATGAATGAAAGTAGGTATTGTGTATTTGTGCTCATATACAGGGTTATTTCCAGCAAGTTATCATTCGGCTTAGATAGTTGAGAAAGAGTGGTCGTGTTCGAGAAAATGCATTTCAAAATTTTATTTTTTATTTTAATTTTAAATATTATCCGTTCATCACAGCTTTTGGATTCTGATAATAATTACGAATTGGTGCCAGTAATGTCTCCTATGGGTAAGTTTGTTTTTTTTTCTCTTATTTAGTGTCTTCACAACAACACGTTGGAATTTTTTTATAAAATTTTAATTTAAATCATTGACCTTGAAATGAAATGTTACGGAAATCTTACAAAAGAATACACATATTAAAAAAAATATTTATTAACTTTATAATCAATTTTATTTTATTATTATTTTCTGTTTTACTTATTTATGTTTACCTTTTTTAATTTTGTTTTTTTTTATAATATGACACAGATTTTTGGTGTAAAATAAAATTTGCATGTATTGTGAATAATAAAATTAATGCCTTAATAATACTAGAATCCAAATACAAATCCAAATGCAAATAATAAAATAAATAATTGATAAATACCTATTCGGTTGTATTGCCAAATTTAAAGAAGGCTTAATGCATGACAACTAACATAATACATTTAAAAAAGCTTTTTCATCCTAACAATATTTAAACTGCTATGTTATGTTATGTTTACATTATTATCAACTGTTAATCGGTAAATAGTACTATCAGTTTAGTCATAAAAGTAGTTTAATACGTTAACAGCTTATCTTTTATTTGTAAACAGAGTTTTTCAAACATTGCGCACTCTTTAGACTACTACTATTATAGGTCATGCAAACAATACAGTTTCATCATTTTAGAGCACACATCATTATTATTAGAAACAATCTGACATATACTATATTAAAAACTTAAGTGCGGTGCGGTTTAATTATGTCCCGATCATTATTAAAAAGAATTTGACATAATACTATTTCAATCATAATGAGGCATGATTGGCCGAGTGGTCGGAAGTGGGACTGCCGGGCAAGTGGTCTCGGATTCGATTCCCGGGTCGGGCAAAGTATTACTGGCCTTTTTAAAAAACTCATTAGTAGCACGAAGTCTGGAAATGTGCCGGTATATGGCAATTGGCTCACTTCCTATTACATGGGATTCATAACATGAATAGTGAAATGTGGGTGTTATATTGTAAGTGGCATTAAGTGCCGTAATGTGCACCTCTGCCTGCCCTTCGGGGATAAAAGGCGTGATGTTATGATGATGACAATTTTAATCACTAAAGTATGGTTGACATGTTTGAATCAATTAATTGGTTTACTTATAATACAACAGAAAAATGTAGGGAAAGGAATAAACATTAGAAAACATGATATTGTAGAAGGGACAAAATTTAATTACTTCAAATAAATGTTTGCC